CAGTCTAATGGACATTTTCATTTACATGGTTGAGAGGAAATATCAAATGGCATACCCTGAACTCAGTAAACTTTGCCAACTTATTATCACACTTCCCGTGACATCTTGCAGTAAGGAAAGGTGCTTCTCTTCACTAAAATTAATCAAAAACAGACTGAGAACCACAATGTCACAGGATCGGATGTCTGATCTAATGGCCACTGCAGTTAAGGCAGATCGATGCACAGATGCATTTTGGAGGCTTGGAGAAAGACATTAAGACATTAAAAACATTAAGCAAGAGTAGTAAATGCTGCAACTAAAATATGTCTGTAACAAAGTTCGTAGATCCGGGAAGAAGGAGGCAAGAACCGGCGAACATTTAAACATAATCTAATAACAAAATAAACACAAAACTCAAAATAGCGCAACAGCCCCTCACGGACGACTGCCACGCACAAACAGAACCAAAACAACATATATAAAGTCCAGGCCTGGTCCTCTCTCGTCCTTCACTGTCGTCACTCCTCCTTTTATCCTTCCGGAGCTCCTCTGTGGGACTCGAGACCAGTGTGTGGCGCAGGTGTCCCTCATTATCATTCACTCCACCGGCCTCGCTCCGCTCCCACGGCTCTCGGCCCCGCCCCACTCGTCACAATGTCATTATTTGTTTACAATTCTTAAAGGTGCCATAGAATGGAAAACTGTATTTACCTTGGCATAGTTGAATAATAAGAGTTCTGTACATGGAAATGACATACCGTGAGCCTCAAACACCATTGTTTCCTCCTTATGTAAATCACGTGCGTGCAAAAGACCACTGAAAAAGAGGCGAATCCCAACATAACACCGACTGTGACGTTACAGTCGGGATCATTAATGTTTACGCCCCCAATATTTGCATAATGTATACCAGCCCAAGTTCTAGGCCAGCCGGACCTGCACAGCCGAATCATTGATGCAGTGTTGCCAGATATTGCTATTAGAACAAACAAAAACCGATAAATAAATAAAAATAAACCGAAATTATTTCAAAGCTTTTGCAATTAAGATGAGATAAAGATATTGCTGACCCTAAACTGCAATGTCCTACTTTACTAACTTTCTAAAGTGTAAAAAAAAGGGAAAAACAAGTCCAAAAACGCTTATAACAGCTGGATCTGGCAACACAGAAGCTGCGTTCGTGCCCTCACTCACAACTCTCTCTCAAGCCTCGTTCACTCCACCAGCGTCTCGCAGCGATCATGTTCATACCACGGACGCTGTATTTGCATAATGTATACCAGCCCAAGTTCTAGGCCAGCCGGACCTGCACAGCCGAATCATTGATGCAGTGTTGCCAGATATTGCTATTAGAAGACGCTAAACATTCATGCAAAATCTCTCAAAATGTGTATCTTCATCTGATACAGGCTCAAACATACTGTATAAGGTTGGATGCCTAATCTCTCCATCGCTCACGCCGGACAGTAGAGATCTATTTGATGTGTGAGCTACTGAAATGAGCCGCACTGTGAAACAGCCAATCAGAGTAGAGCTCAGCATTATTTCATTATTATTCATTACCCTTCCAAATAAGGTAATAACAGACCATTTCATTCTAGGGACAAATCCTAGGGTTGTAAATGGACATGTAAAACCATTTCTGGACAATTTTTGCTCTTACCTAAACCACATACCTTCTATGTAGATATCAGAGAACATTTTAAAATATTGTATCAATGCATTCTATGGCATCTTTGAAACATTTATTCATTAACAAATAGTATTTTGTAAAGTGTCACCATGATGTGTTTTTTTTAAGAATGCTCTCATCTTCTTACCACATTGCTGTAGATTGCAGCAGGCAGATAGGAAGAGGGCAGGAGGTTGCAGATGAGTGAGGGAAGACTGTCACTGTTCAAGGTAGCTTGGTTATTCAGAGACAAGGGAGGAGTTTATTGTTGTTTGATTAGACTAATACATGTTGCATTACTTGCTTTGCCTCTTTAGAAGAAGATTCAGATTTCATTATCCCAAAAGATCGTCTGGCCAGGGACAATTACATTAAGAGAGGTCCCATTCAGACAGAACTAAAAAGTTATCCATTTAATCAAAGGAAAGGAAAGGAGCTTCAATTTGTTTGATGCATAAATATATAATAAATAGAATATTGCTTTTAATGTCTGTATTTGTGAACAAGTTTCTATTTGTTGTGCACACTGTGCCCCCTTAAAAAATAGGTGCATGATGCCCCCGAGTAAGAAGATGTGCCAATGAATACTGGCAACAGCTCAGTGATGACATCCAGACCGCAGCAGCTACAGGCAACATCAGAGGAATGTATCAGAATCAGAATCAGAATGAGCTTTATTGCCAGGTATGTTTACACATACGAGGAATTTGTTTTCGTGACAGAAGCTTCCACAGTGTAACAGAATGACAGTGACAGAACAAAAAACACAGATAATAAAAGAATAAAAATAAAAAATAAAAAATAGAACAAGTAAAATAAGGAATAAAAAATATACAAATCGACAATCGACAATTGTATGTCCAGGTATAGAACAATAGACAGTTGTATGTACAGGTATATTATGTGCAAATTGAAATATAGACTGAGTATGTGTGTTAGATAAATAAGTGTATGAGTGAATAAATAGTGTGTGTTCCACAGTTATTGTCAAGTGTTCATGAGAGGCCTGAGGGAAGAAACTGTGCCTGTGATGGCCTGAGGGAAGAAACTGTTCCTGTGTCTGGCCGTTCTGGTGCTCAGAGCACTGTAGCGTCGACCAGATGGCAACAGTTCAAAGAGGGAGTGTGCTGGATGTGAGGGGTCCAGAGTGATTTTGCCAGCCCTTTTGCTCACTCTGGATGAGTACAGTTCTTGGAGAGAAGGGAGGGTTGTACCAAGACAATTGTATGTGCAGGTATATTACAATAGACAGTTTTGCATGTACAGGTATATTATGTGCAAATTTGAGGTGTAGACTGAGTATAAGTGTTAGATAAATAAGTGTATGAAGTGTATAAATAATGTGTGATCCACAGTTATTGTTAAGTGTTCATGAGATGGATTGCCTGAGGGAAGAAACTGTTCCTGTGTCTGGTCATTCTGGTGCTCAGTGCTCTGTAGCGTCGACCAGATGGCAACAGTTCAAAGAGGGAGTGTGCTGGATGTGAGGGGTCCAGAGTGATTTTGCCAGCCCTTTTGCTCACTCTGGATGAGTACAGTTCTTGGAGAGAAGGGAGGGTTGTACCAATGATTCGCTCAGCAGTCTGAACTACACTCTGTAGTCTTCTGAGGTCAGATTTGGTAGCTGAGCTGAACCAGACAGTTATAGAAGTGCAGAGGATGGATTCAATGATAACGAGGGCATATTGAATACGAGGCCGTACGAGGGCATCAAAAGAGCTTTAGGTCCAACTCATAGTAAAACTGTCCCCCTTAGATCTGCAAGTGGGGATCTAATCACAGACAAAGGGAAACAGATGGAGAGATGGGTACAATACTATTCAGAGCTTTACTCCGGGGAGAATGTTGTAACCATCTCAGCACTGTCATTGTCAGTGATGTCAATGCCAATGTCATTGAACCTTTGCCTATCATGGAGGAGCTAGGTGCTGAACCATCATTTAGAGGAACTCCGAAAGACAGTTGACTGCCTTGCCAGTGGCAAAGCACCTGGCAGTGATGGAATTCCCCCAGACCTCCTCAAGATCTGCAAGAATTCACTCCTGCAGCCCCTCCATGATGTTCTCTGCCAGTATTGGAGTGAAGGAGCAGTACCTCGAGACATGAGAGATGCCAAGATTGTCACCCTCTATTAGAATAAGGGTGACAGAAGTGAATGCAACAACTACAGGGGCATCTCTCTCCTTAGTATCGTAGGCAAGCTTTATGCCCGTGTTCTACTTGAGCGGCTCCAAAAGCTGGCACAGCGTGTCTTCCCTGAGTCCCAGTGTGGCTTTCACTCAGAACGATCTACTATGGACATGATCTTCTCTTTCCGCCAACTACAGGAAAAATGCAGAGAACAGCAAAAGCCCCTTTACATCACCTTCATTGATCTCACCAAGGCATTCGACCTGGTTAGTAAGAATGGGCTGTTTAACATACTTTTGAAAATTGGCCGCACGGCCTGATCAGTTCATTTCATGATGACATGAAGGCATCCATCCAGTATCAAGACAGCATATCAAAACCCTTCGACATCAAAAGCGGTGTGAACCAAGGTTGTGTCCTTGTTCCTACCCTATTTCAGATGGGCAACTTTTCAACCTCAAAAGACTGAGAGCAAAGACTAAGGTGCGTAAGGTCATCATTGGAGATCTGCTCTTTGCTGATGATGCTGCCATCATCTAACACACTGAACAACAACTTCAGTGCCTAATGGACAGATTTTCCCAAGCATGTGATGACTTTGAACTGACCATTAGCCTGCAAAAGACAAAAGTGTTAAGTCAAGACGTGGATACTCCTCCTGTCATTGACAACCATTGACAACCACGTACTTGATGTTGTCCACAAAGTTTACATCTTGGGTCCACCATCAGCGACAATCGCATTGGTAAGGCTGCAACAATCCTAGGCCGACTCACCACTTGTGTCTGGGGGAATATTCAATCTCTATCAAAATGGCAGTGTATAATGCCTGCATTGTCAGCACTCTACTTTATGGCAGTGAAACATGGACAACATATACCAACCAAGAACGAAGGCTGAACAGCTTTCACTTGCAGCTTTCACTTCGCCGAATCCTTAACATAAAGTGGAGCGACAAAGTACCCAACACCTGGGTGTTTGTATGCGCTGGTCTCCCCACCATGTGCACGCTGCTTAGACAAACGCAGGATGCGCTGGCTCGGCCATGTGTGCCGGATGGAAGATGGCCGTATTCCAAAGGACATCCTGTATGGCAAATTAGCCTCTGGCAAGAGATCTGTTGGCCGTCCCCAGCTGCGTTATACAGATGTCTGCAAGCGTGATATAAAAGCTCTGAACATCAATACAGATTTGACGTTGCAGCTGAAAGCAACAGTTGGCGCAGTGTCCTTCAGATACAGCTTAGGTTTGGGGAAGAACAGATCCAGACCTTAGCAGAGGAAAGGGAAGACAAGAGAACAAAGAGAGTCTGATGACACCGCTACTTTTAAACATACATGCATCCGCTGTGGCAGAATCAGTCTCTCCTGCACCAGCCTCATTAGCCATAGCCGGTGCTGTTCCAGAGGTGTTGACACGACTTCATGACAGGGCGCATCTTCCATGGTCGATAACGACTGAAGGAGACCTACTACTACATTCATTTGAAAATTGAATGTGAAATTATTGCAATATAAAAGCATATTTAAAAACATTAATGTTAGGTGGGATTATTCGCGATTAATTTCAGAAAAATGTGTGATTAATTAGTTATTTTTTTTAATCGATTGACAGCACTAACACACACACATATACATACACAGAAACATCATACTGTGTATATATATATATATATATATATATATCACGGCTCGACATTGTCCGAGTAAAAAACTTGTCTGGGGGATAAACAGTCTTTTTTTTTTTTGGTGTAAATGTAATCCATTCTGAAGCAATAGTCTCATCAGTGATCTATCAGGTCTTACTTTAATCCTTTACTTTGCCTTAAATTGATTTCTAGGACACTTTTTAACTTTATATAAAGGGCAATATTTTCCTAACCTTATTAAATTTACGTGTCATCATTTACGTCAAATTCTTTAATTCCACTGCAGAGGAAACACTGAAGCTGCATCGAAAGTCCCATTTAGATGTATTTACACAGACTGTTTAATGAAGATAAGAGGTTCCATAAATGCATTCACACAGTAAAATTGCAAATGCATAAATAATGTTATAAAAATAAATGTTTCACTTTTTAAACATATAAATACGAAATAGAAAAATGCAAAGATAGGCCTACTTTTAAATATGAAACCAAACCACCAGTTGGTGGCAGCAAGTCACTGTCTTAATGAGTGAGTCATTGATTCAACCAATTCGTTCAAACAGCTAATTCATTCAATTAATAAAGCAAGTGACTCTCTTTATAAACAGCTCACTGAATCATTGACTCACCTGATTTGTTTAAAATGCTGAATCATTCAGTAATGAAACACCGCTTTGTGTTGTTCTGAGATCTGCAACTGTTCTGCTGTGGCTTTGCTTAGAACTATTTTCATTAGCAAAAACGGTCAATAATGTGTCTAAAATATAAGTCAGTTAATATTATTAACGACTTGTTTATTGAACTGTTGTATAAAATCAATGTCACATTTACAATCGTGCTAGGTCGTGTGATGTTGCTTACCTATATCATATGTTATATAGAATATTTATCTTTTTTTTCTACTGCAGTATGTTTGTTTCTTTGTGTGTGCTGGTGAGCCTATTAGTTTTGATTTCTACGCGAGTCAGACAGGCTGCACGAGCCTCAACAACCTTGATACTGTCAATACATTATCTGTCATCAGTCACCGTTTACACTGAAAGTAATGAAATCAGAATCGTTCTTACCAAAGTTTCAGTGCTGCCCTAGTTATTGCTTGTTATTGATATTTTCATCAGGTTAATTGTCCAGTCAGGCAAGTAAAATTCTCTTTCACTTGCCCCTTCACAAAATCCACTTGTCCCGGACAAGCGTTAATGTCGAGCCCTGTATATATATATTAGGGCTGTGAATCTTTCTTTAGACAGCGAATCGATTCGATTCACGATTCATAGGTTTTCGATTCGATCCAAGAACGATTTTTGCAAATTCACAACGATTCAATTCGATTCGATTCACAATTAAATTTGATTCGATTCGATTAACGATTTGATTCTGCATTCACAGGATTATTTAAATGCTTCCCCTAAATTCTTTAAATGCTTAGTCAGGGGGCAAATTACACAGCAGCCTTTATGGTTACAGAACCATAGGTTAGAAAAAAAAAAAACTATCTAAAGATAGATAGATAGATAGATCGTAAAACAGTTTTGCTGTTTGCTCATGAGGTCAACCTTGTTTTCAGCTTAACCTCAACACTGGTGAAATTTGGGCCGACTCCCTGAATTTTTTAAGCATGTTAAAAAAATTACTGGGAGCTCAAGAGCTGCTCATAAGGTACTCAGCTTAGATCATAATTCCTCTCACACAATGCCAGCCGTGACCATACGAGCATCAACGATTGACACATTCTCCCACCGGAAAAAAAAAATGCTACAAAAATGTGTACAAGCTCATATGACAGCAAAAATCATACTGTGTATGCCCGGCCTAAGACATGCTGACATATATTTAGGGGTATGTGCGTGTACCTCTTCAGCATATGTCTTTGGTGTGTTTCCACGAGAAGTCCTCTGGGTTGAACCCTGGAATGCTGTGAATAAAATTAATTCTTCTGTAAGAAAAAATAACATTCTAAACAAAGAATCTCACCACTCACTCTCTTTCTATTCAAAATGCTAATCACTGACATGTTCACTATGAAAGATGACTACTGATTAATCACAACACCAACAGTCCACAAAAAAAAAAAAAAAAAACCTGTTTAATTTGGGACACAGTACAGACATTAATTTTCACACCATCAAAACTAAGCTAACACAGGAATGGAAAAGATAATTGTAAGCCTTATTTGAGTTCATATGAAAGCCATTAAAATCTCTCCATGGAAAGGTGTGATTGCCCTCCGGCATTTCCATCAGGAGCATGAACAGAAGAAAAGTAAAATCGGCATCCTCATTCAAGAATGTAACATATTTATGACAACCACAACAGAAGATTATGTCATAATATGTCACAGTGGTGTGGTGTGATTGTATCTCACCATCCATTATTGACTTGCTTGTCAGCGCACTTGAGAGAGATCCTTTTTGTCCATGTCCACCCCGCCCTGACTTTGAGGCAGCACCTGGAAACATTAAAATAGACAATGCAGACAGGATTTGAACTTAACACCCACCAACTTGCCAAATGCGGGTGAAAATAAGCCATGACAGGTAACATTTTGTGGGTTATGGTTCCTAAATTATGTCTAACTAGGAGACTCCAAAATGAACACTAGATAAGAAGTGCCACATCTTTAAATATTGAACACATTATATGCGCACAGCCATACCACTCAGCAATCTATTGGGGCTGCCCAACTATGACTTTGGAAACGGTTCAAAATTCCTGCCATGCTACTCACACAGTTTTCCATTAAATTACATTAACAACAATTTGGAACAAATTTTGTATAAACTGATGTCACTGTCATTTATCAAGTAATGAGACTAAATTTGAAGTTTGAAAGCAAGTCCTGATGCAATTCCTTGAGGCTTTATTTGATGTTTGCTGATGAGAGAGAACTGGCTTGGTGAAGAAGGTCACTGATAAATGGAAAGATAAGGCTGCATGCAGCCTGGCACAAACTTGGGGGTCCTTTGAAGACTTTTAACTCAGCATCACCTTCAGTAACTTAATACTAACTTATCTCTTCAAGAACAATCTCTCTTTAAAAAAAAAGTATCTCTCCAAGAAGAAATCTCTCTAAATCTCTAAAATCTCTAAGAAATCTCTCTGTTCTTAGTGATTTTTCAAGTAAGAAGATATGACACCCTTAGGAGATGAGAGAGCAAATGAGGAATTGCACTTTTGGAGGGAAAGTTTACAATCCTTTGTCTTCTATCAAAGTGATTTACATATGAATTTTGAGAAGGTGATACAGGAAAAACCTTTAAGATTCTTATAACTAAAATGTAACAGAGTTAGTAAAAAAATGTAATGTAAATGAACATTCGGTAAATTAAAATTGCAGCTCATAGACACAAAATATGCTATAAATGTGATCTTGGTTAACTATAGCATAAGATGGGAAAATCATGAAGATGGGAATATTGGATACGTTTATACATTTCTCAAGTGGCTATATGTAGAATGTATAGGCCGTATTTCAGAGACTTTAATACTTTTTTCAATAACCATGCATAAACTTTATTTTCCCAAAAATACAAACTTGTACAAACATGCTGCTTACATATTACCAGCCCAGTTTGCACTGAATGCAGTGTAATCAGAGTTTAGCCATTAATATGTTTTTAAGAAACTGAAAAAAGCACAAATGCCAATGCCAAATGCCATGCGAAAGCTTCTCCAAGGCCCCAAAATATAATCAGAGGGTTGAAAGGGATTATTTGCCTGTTACAAAGTGAAAGAAGTGAGAGTTAAAACTCTCTCTATAAAATTCCATGAGGTCATACAGCAATCTTATCTTGCTGAGGTGTCTTTGCTGTAATGGTAACCAAAGGCCTGGTTCTGCCTGAGGGTTTGTTGCAGTTCAGGGGTAGTTCAGATACTCTGGCACCTAGTTTGCTTGTTGGATCAGTTAAATCTCACCACATAAAGACTCTTTCACTTAGATATCATACTATAGAGACTGGCTGTTCCATACAGATAAACAAATGGTAAAACTAAGCTTGATGGATACTAGATCCCTTTCTTTCTTTGTAAATGACATGATCACAGATCATAACCTAGATGTGCTCTGTTTTAAATAAATATGGATAAAGCCAGATGATTACATTACTTTAAATGAGTCTACCCCCAAGAATACTGTTATAAACATGAGCTGTGTCCAAAAGGTAAATGGTAAAAGCTGTGTCCAAAAGGTAAAAGGTGAATGTTGTAGCGCCTGCGTAAAATCATGGATGGTCTTTGGGGTTTATGGCTTAAGAGACCCTGTAACTGTAATAATCTGTTGGGATTTGAGTCTCAGTGTTCTTGTTATAGCTGCAGTAAATTCCGTTAGAATGAGAGTAGTCTCACACTAAACGCTATCTTTTATTTTTATTTTTTTATTTTTTTATTATTTATTTTTTTCATTTCAGTATTATTTTTGTTTTTACTATATTATCTTTTATTACTTTTATAATTTTTTTTGTTTGTTGGTTTTGTTCCCTTTTTTTAAAATTTTTTTTCATCAGGTTTCTCTCCCCCTCTTCTCTCTCACTTTACCACTCACTTATTTAAATTTAGTTTAAACAGTATTTGAATTCAAATTTAAAGTTAATTTCTGTATTCTAGCTAG